ACAAAACAAGCTTTATTTCAATTAATAAGAATAATGAAATAAGCAATAATAATAAAATTCAATCTACTTTAAAATTGAAAATAAAATTTTCACAGTTTTCAATTTTTATAATCGGCCTTTTTCCACAGAAAAACACAAAAGAACTGTTGTCTTCAACATTGAGTAACAACTCCATAGGGCGGATGGCTTATTTTTTTTGCATTTTTCGTCAATATAGAGAGTTTCTTCTACAAAGTACTGTTGCTCATTTACACCATGTGGGGCACACCAGGAAATAAAGTCCTTATATGTTTTTTCATAGAGTCTTTTGGACTTTGAAGGTAATAGATCTTCCTTGGCCTCTTCAACTGCCTCAAGAATAAACTTGGGGAGGCTATTTTGTCCCATTTCCAGACGCCGGACTACACATCATAAAAATACTGTAAACTACACAAAGTAAATTAATTATTTGTTTGTATTGTTCTGGGTTGCTATAATAGTTACGTGACACTTTTGTCAACAACTGCTTTCTTGATCTAAATTTGACAAAAATTTTTGACCTATTGCGGTGAAGATGAAAATTTATATTTTGAAATATTTTTGATTGATGTCATTACATAATCAAAAATATATAATTTTTTAAATATCAAAATGAAAACATGCTCATCGTACATAAAATCTTGATATGAACCTCGGTCAAAAAGAGCTTTAACGCCCTCAGCGTGTAAACAGTGTTACACACGCTGCGGGCGTTAAAGCTGTACTTTTTGACCTAGGTGCATATAGCAACTTAACAAAGCTTTTTGGAATGAATACATGAAAAAAATCTATTCTACTTTAAGAATCTTCCTAACAGAATTACTTTATAATTTAATGGTATGAAATTTAGACGTGGTGAATCTATGTGGGAATAAAATAAACTACCATAATTTCAGACTTTCACAGTCAAAAATTCCGCCCCAAAGGCACAAAACCAAACTGAGCAGAACAAATAATAATACGTAATTCCATATAATGTTCTTAACAACGCCAAAAGGATGACCGTTAATGTGCTACACGTGAAAATTATGATTAATGGGACGTTACGGATTCGAAACAATATATAGGATATGGAACGGAGATAACAGATGAGAAAGCTCATTGGGTCGACATGTGCTCGTGATACGTTCATTTTGTATGGGTCTGTCCAAAAATTATCAGTTATTTATAATTATATTTTGACCTCAAGGAGTTGGTCCTTAATTTAATTACTTAACTGAAAATAAGTACTAGATAATGCATCAAACATAAGGTCTAATATTTCTTTTCAAGACATTGATTGATGCACCAGATTTAAAAAAATCTTAAGTAGGCATTTGGTAATTATAACGCATCAAAAAAAGTCATTACTCTCAAAGATAAATAGGACCTCTTGGAGAGTGAAGCCCAATTGACAGTGAGTAGTAGAGTTTTCACACCAATTGAAGTAGTTAATTTAGGAATGATTGGTGGCGACAGGGACTTATTCTTATTAGATCCATGAAAAATTGCTTAAGATATACCAATAATAATTAAAAAAATTATATAAAACCAAAGTTATTACTCACAAACCGGCTAGATGAGATGGTATTGGCTGGCAATAATATGACTCGGGAATAATTTACGATGTTGGGTTATTGCTGTATCATTCGACAATCTAATCGAATATTTAACACAATATTATGACAGTTATTACAAGTTTATTGTTCTTGTAATTGAATGGGACATTATTCTTTGAGAACGATTTTTGCCCGCTCTTGCGCAATTCGAAATTCGCTCAATAGTGCCAAGATATTTCGACAAAATGATTACTCGCAATATATTCACACCTCAAATAATGTATTCGTTCAAAAACCATTGATTGATACGACCGGTAATGAATTTTTCAGCAATTGCAGCAAAATATTTGTTGATGCTTGCAACAAATTACTCTATACTTATTTCGCCGAATAATCGATTTAACGTGTTTGTCTTCAACATATTATGCAAGAGGCAAGAGGATACAAATAAATGTTTCTCCAACTGTGCCTTCATTGTAGAGTAGGTAATCACGCATGGGGCTTAGTAAAATGTCTTCTTCTATCCTTCATGTTGAAAATATTTCCTCCAGTTTCACTATTATTTAATCAAACCTATTGAAACTTAAAAGTCCGACTGATACCATTCCCTATTCGTTATACATTTCTCGGGCATATTCAGTAAAATGTTTTATTTTCCATTCATAGCACAACATAAGTGCCTGCTTAGGCGGTTGTACCTCTTCACTGACCTAGCTTCTTTCCCGGCTGTTATCATTTTTCTGCGATGCAAAAGAAAGGCCATAATCAAAATGAAAAGTATCATAGAAGCCAACGCCAACTTCAGATTTGCATCATTGGCTTTATAAATATCCAGCCAATTTTCCTAAGACGAATGATGAAAAAAAAAAATAAATATTTGTTTTGACCTAGTTTATGTTTGCGTAAAATTTCCAGGATAATAATAACCTACCTCGAACACGAATTATGTACCTATTAGCTGAGAGAATTTATAAGACAAAATATACTCGTTGAGTCATGTAGTCTTGTAGAAATTTAGTATTTAATCTATCAGTGCACGACGTAGAGTCGCATTTTATGTCTTTTTAGATTAGCTGGTTTCAATATATCTGCACACTACACACACCGGCAATATTAGTGAAACGGGCAAAATTGACACTAAGCTGCTGGTGACATCACTTTCCTCATGAACCCTCCGCGCGATTTCGTAATTTTGTTAGGAATTGTGAGTTGATTCTCATATCTATATAAGTATATAAAAATTAATGCCACTTTTCGTTGTAATTTTATAACTCAAGAACGGGCTCACCTAGCCAAACCAAATGTTTGGGCTTTGTTCGGACTATCTGTTAGATGGTTTATGTGAAGTTTGCACAAAATCGGTCGAGCGGTTCTTCATTCATCACATTTTTTGTAATAAATGAATTATTCAGTAAATGGAGGATGTCAAATTCATAGGTCAAATTGAAACTTTTTTCAGCGTTGACAGTACCACATGTTGTTATGTCATTAATGTAGTCATTTCATTACTTATTTTATTTATTTATGAAAAAAATTTACTAAGCCCGCATACGGCGCCATCTCTTATAACCGATACCAAGTTTATTTTGTATTTTGTATACCTTGCCATCTCTGATACCTGGAACGAAGCTCGGCATTGCAGATACATTAGAACAATGCTGCTCAGGAACTGGAGCTATTTCGAACAGAACTATTCCACTATTCCTATCAGGAGTGGTGCAGAAAGAGTAGATCAGATAGAGTAGTGCAGATAGAGTAGAACAGATGGAGTAGTGCAGTGCATGCAGTGCAGATAGAGTGAAACAGGGCTGCGCTAGAGATTTTTTTTGTTTTCTTTACATTCTTGGAACATTCCTGTGCCTGAGTTTATTTATTTGGTGGTATACTTTACAAGAATAATGCCCACAAGCTGCCTAAAAAAGGATGATGTAAAATTTTAATTTTAGGTGACTTCTGATCCAGAGAGTAAACATTCATTTTCTTCAACCAAAGCCAAATTCACCATCGAAAAAAACTGAATTTATTTCAGCTAATAGATACGTTAACACAACATTTAATAGGTATATTTGATAATTCAGAGGCGGTACGAAGTTAGCCGGGTCAGCTAGTTATATATATATGATATGTCCGACTGATTACCGTTCTCAAACGATTGGTATTAATATCATATACAGAGGTACGGCAATTGACTAAGAAATTTACGCAGTTTTTTGAGACACCCTGATGTAGACTGAACAACTGACAAATGAAGTTGAAAACAGTGTTTAATACCCTAAAATTTGAAATGATGTTTTCTAAACATCAACAGACAGAGTTTCGAAAACAAGGTGGTTATTGATTTTTATTTTAAAAGGTTTCATTTTCCACCTTCGAGTCCTTTCTGTGGAAATTTCCACTCCAAGCTGAATATTGCTCGCAGTTTCACCTATCAGTTTATTGTGTAAAATGTGTTATTGCTAACAAATTAATAGTGGTGATAAAAAGCCTTTTCGTCTTTTCCGTTTGGTGAAATGATATTTTTTTGAAGGATCTTTAGGATTGGTCATTGGTCCAACCTGTGGTCTGACAGCCATCGCCACATCAATAGAATATTGACAAATTGAATCTTATTTGAACAAGAAACTTATGAGTCTACTTTGATAGCAGCTCAAAAAAAATTAATCATGTGTAGCATAGTACAAGTGTTAAGAAGTAAAACTTTTAAAAAATTACATACTTCCTCCCTCATAAAACTTTTAGACTTAGCGTATGAATCGGGGTGAAGACGAAGGGCCACAGAAAAGAGAGACGCGCATCTGTAGTGACGTCACAAGGTTATCGGCGCTTGACAATTATAGGCAATCCTCTTTGCTTATAATCCTTGGGTTGTGTAAATCGCTCATCGGGTCTACGTTATATTGGCAAGATGAGAATGAAATTAGTATGTGGGATATGCAAAAGTTATTTCCATTTGGATTGTGGGGAAGTAACTGAGATTGATGCCCGAATTATGCATCGGGATAAAACCTCTTGGTTCTGTGAAGACTATGCTAGCGAGAGAAAAATGAGCGCAGTAAACCAATCTGCCCGACCCCGCAGATCATCCATTTTGCCTACTCATTCAAGCCCAGTTGGAAGGGATGAGGGAGGTATTTATGAACTCTAAAGAGCATTCTTAGAGAACTGCAAAGCGACGTCAGAGAGATGAAGCAGTCTGTTGAATTTCTCAACGAGAAGTATGAGGAGGAAAAAAGACGCAACAAAGTCATGTCTGACATGGTCTCCGAGATATGCAAAGAAAATGAAATGCTTAAGGTGAGAGTCACTAAACTAGAGCAAACAGTAGTCGTGCAAGAAGCGAATAAAATAGGAAACAACAATAATATGCATCAGTAGTCGGGTACTCAACGAATCCAGAAACGACTCCACCGCTGCAAAACTGGTCACCTTATGTGACTTTCTTAGGGTGCCCACATCGGAGAGTAAATTTGAAGTTGTCAAGCACTTCAAAACCAACAATACAATTGGGTCCATAGTTAAAGTTGCAGATTTGGATTTGAAACATAAAATCTTAATGGCTAAGGCTCAAAAGGGAAGGGTTACCAGAACCACTGTCGGCTTAGATGAATCTGAAGATGTGATCTATGTGCCAGAAGAACTCACAAAGGAAACCTTGAATTTTTTTAAGGAATGTAAACGTCTCAGGAGTGAAGCAAACTACAAATACATTTGGCAGAAAAATGGGAAGGTCGTGGCACGCAAGGCTGACGGAGATGACCATATTGTAATCTCCGACGAACATCACCTAAGGGAACTTTTGGGTTAGGTATGCTTTAATTCCTTTTCTTTTTGTTTTTTTCAATTGTTGGATTTTTTTCAGTTACCATATTGTTTAAGTGCCATTTATTGAATTTAATTTTCCTATCTTCCGAAAATGAGTTACAAGCAAAAAATTCCCGTCCTGGGAGCAATCTACAGTCCTTCAGGGTTTGCAAACTTTGATGAGTTTCTCGAAGAATTTGAGTTGAATGTATCCCAAAATCTGTTGGGATCTGACAATCTTATATGTCTTGGAGACTTCAATATTAGTAGGTTATACTTAGACTCGGTATATACCCAAAGATTTTTTTCAGTTTTGCAGTCTTACAGTCTGGAACAAACTATAAATGAGCCTACTAGATTCGGTCAAACAAGTGGAACTCTAATTGATTTTATTATATGTTCCAACTCCGAGTTTCTGGTGAGTAGTGAAGTTGATCCTACCCTCAATATCTCTGATCACTTGGTAATTAAATGTAAATTGAAACTACAAGTATTCAAACAAAAACCTTTTTTCTTGAGTTACAGGAACTTCCGTAATTTTAATAAAGGAACATTTTTGTGATGATCTTTTGTCTATTCCATTCTATGAAATATTTTACACTCGCGACATTAAGGGAAAACTGGAATTGTTTAATGCCTATCTGACTTAACAGACATACACCGATGCAAACAGCTCGTATCTCGAAAAGAAAAGCACCCTGGCTTACCCAGGAGATGAAAAACGCTATGTGTCTCCGAAATAGAGCCCTCAATAAATATTTTAAAAAAAATCTCCTGAAAACTGGCACGAATACAAACTGATTCGTAACCAGGTGACGATTGCAGTAGAGAATACCAAAAAGCAGCACCCTGCCAATAACATTACAGTCTGCAACTCGAAAAACAACTGGAAAGTGTTGCGAGATCTAAACATATACTCTAAACCCAAAAACACAGTTCCGGCTGCCCTAGCAGATGTGGAAAAGATCAATCGGTACTTTATCGACGCAGCCGTCTCAAAAAATCCAGATCCAGGCACCTTAAATTTTTATCTGCAAAATAAAAGTGACAACGCAGGTGACTTTAATTTCAACTTGGCTAGTGTGGACGATATTGAAGGGGCATTGATCTCCATAAAATCTAAGGCCATTTGTACGGATGGTATTGGAAATAAAATGCTCTGCCACTGTTGTCCGCATATCCTACCAATTATTTTACATCTAGTCAATAGCTGTATAGAAACCCATACGTTTCCTGATCTATGGAAAATATCTATTTTGCTCCCGATTCCAAAGGTTTCAAACCCTAGCGAACTGAGAGACCTTCGGCCCATAAGCATCTTGCCAACTATGTCAAAGATCCTCGAAAGAGTCCTAGATGTTCAGATACGTAGGTACATTGAAACCCATAAGCTGTTACCACCCATACAGTCAGGATTTCGCAAGGATCACAGCTGTACCACTGCTCTCTTAAAAGTGACCGACGACATCTTGGAGGCAACAGACCGCGGTGAACTCACTGTACTTGTCTTGTTAGACTACTCCAAAGTATTTGACAAGTTGAATCATCAGTTACTTTTAGCTACTCTAAAATATCTAGGCTTTAGCAGTGATGCCTGTCTTATGATAAAGAGTTATCTCGCGGGACGCCTACAGTCTGTGAAACTGAATGGACAAGATTCCAAGCCAATAAAAAATAGTAGTGGCGTTCCACAAGGGTCTATCTTGGGGCCTCTTTTGTTCAGTATCTATACATACCAGCTTTGTACCTACCTACCTTAGATATTCAAAATTACATCTTTATGCTGACAATTCGCAAATATATCTGAGTTTTAGGCCAGAGCAAATTTTGGAGGGTAATAACTTAATGAGGATCTTGGACTCTTGGTGAATGCCTCCGAAAAACACTGTTTGGAATTGAACCTATAAAATGCCAGATGCTTGTGTTTAGGCAAAAATCTATAAGAAATCAATATTCAAACCACTTTAACATTTTTGTAGGTGCAGAGAAATTAGAAAACTCCGATAATGCTAGGAACTTGGGTCTAGTAATGGACGTAGGGGGGATACCTACTTTTTAAGAAGTTTCACTTCCTAATACGTGTACGGTGCTGCACAAAATTTCTTTTTAAATTTTAAGGGTCCACTGGCAAAACAAATCACAATAACCATAACCTCATGAACGGTAACGTTTCAAAACACAAACGATACATGTTTTAATAATGCATCTTGATGACAGCAGTCATCCGTCTGCTCATGGTTCCGATGACATTATCAGGACCTGATAATCAGGCATCTCTTGGGGCAGATCGTCACAGATGTCATTCAGAACAGCAGAACACGGATTTTGATCTGCGGGAATTCTGGATCCTATTCGTCTACCCGTCCCTAACATGTTCGATCGGGTTAAGGTCTAGGGAACATGCAGGCCGGTCCATTGGTATTTTTCAGACAGTATTCAAAAAGGCTCAGACACAACTAGCAACGTGCGGGCTGACATTGTGAATTATCAAACAGATGGAAGGCGAACGATACCTATATTATACTATTGAGCTGCTGCAAATGTTTGTATGTGTGTATGTGTCCATCTTCATTTAAAGCGCCAATAATCATATCAGACTGTTCGTGTTCGTGTACCAGACCATTACTAAACCTCTACGTAGGAGTGAAATTAAATTGTTCATCCTATTCTCTTCGTTGGCGGTTTGATCTATCTCTGCCATCCATTGAATTGATATGAAAGCGGCTCTTATTCGTAAAAGGAACGTGGGCCCACTGGTCATTTTCCCATTTTTTTTTGCTGCCTAGCGAAGGGTAGTCTCGCCAATTTATGGCATCGCAGTAGTTGTGGAGGCCTTCGAACCAACTTCTTTGTATCTTTCTCTACAGGCCTGATGACTTGTTCTTTTTCCACTCCAATTGGATTCTTATTCGTGGTATTCTTCTGCGCCTGATCAGTGATGCTTGCAAAACTATAAAACTATCATCTCTAACCATTGTTTACCGTTTTCTACATTGTCCTCGGCTTTTTATATACTCTCCCGTTTGTCTCCAACGTCTCACATTACGATAGATCGTGAATTCTGATTTTTCTAACATGTCAACAACATCAGCGTAAGATCTACCATTTCCAATCAACGCTACAGCTCTTGCCACATCAGTAGGAGTTTGTTTGATGTTTGATGTTTTACAATTAAAATGATAAACGTTGACTTTCGCTTGAAAATAAAACGCATGAACTAAACAAAATTGTATTTGGAAACGATGATCATAGATAGGTAGGTATCGAACAGCACCTCAAATAAGAAGCGCATAGGAACAAATACATGAAACTATTGTCATTAGCAGAGGTTCAGAGAAAATGCTATCGAGGTGAACATTTGTCATTTTTCTTGTTCAAATAAGATGAAATTTGTCAATATCCTACTGATGTGGCGAGACCTCTCAAATTGGATTAGTGCTATGCTTGGGATAAGTGTGATCAAGGGTTCATTTTGGCAGCTCATTTTTTCACAAATTAGCTATCAATTTCGTCCGCCACTGACCAATAATAATGGTAGATGATCATCTTTGCAGTATAATAAGAATAATATCGTAACCTATTATGTTGAGAGCGATTCATTTCTAACTGTTTATTAATTAATGTTTGTTTACCAATCGGCAAAAATGGATTTTGGTTACGGCACCATCAGCGACGCGATCTACCTCTAGCCTAGAAAACACGGTCAAGGACGATTGCCGGTGCGGTTGGCCGTACGGTTAGGAATTTTCGGCAGTTACCAGATACATGAGATATGTCTGACATACCAGTGGCAATTACCATTATTCAATTATCGACCTCTTGAGGTTGTACTGGTATAACGTCACTAGAATTTCAATGGAAGTTTATTAAACTCTATAAATCTAAGAAAACGAATTATATTTTTTTATACTTTGAAGATAATAATTATCATCCACAACACTGCTAGAGAAAGCATCATTTCCAAGAGCCGAAAATTGGACGCGTTCTTTTTTTTTGTTGCGGGCATTGAACAACATGATGCCAAGGTGCGATGGACCCATATTAGTACAGTATGTCGGTTTTTTTTTAGACTTGATATAATTTAGTCAATGTGATGCATGAAATTTGCCAAGAAAAAAAGCAATATTGCTAAATAATTCTTTGGTAAAAGTTTCCGCAAGTATTTAGTGGGATCAGAAGTCAATTAAATACAGTGAGACGGGATTCGGGTCATTAAAGCAAGTCAGATGTGTTTTTTTTTTTTGGGCCAACGTATAGTGAATAATAAATAGCTAATGAACCAATAAATAAATTTGAACTAACAACTGCGATTTCTGTAACTGTTAAATAATTTAAAGAAATATACTAGAAAAAAATCTAAATGAAACGAACAAAAGAATAAAGTTACCTATAATATAAGTTAGCCTCCGATACCGAATTCGGTCAATCGCCTTCAGTGATTCTCATACTGGGTTTCGCGGAACCCCAAGGTTCCGCAAAGGGGCGATTGGGGTTCCGCAAGCAGTCGATAAAAGATTTAAAAAAAACCTACAAGTTTCAATCAAAGAATATTTTCCAAGGCGAGAAGAGTATCTTAATTGGGTTCACAATCCGTTCTCAGTCTAAGTCAGAAAGTTTTATCAAACTCTAACTGTAAAACAAATTGATTGAACAACTTATTGATCTTGTCGCCGATGGAAATCTTAAAACTACTTTAAACTCGGTTACTCTATTGTAGTTTTGCGCCCAGCTTAGAAGCGAATATCCAGAATTAGCCAATTTTGCTATTTAGTTGGGAATCTGACGCCTCCTAGGAAGCCTTTTAAAGATGCTCTATATACAAGTCGCGAACATCCACCTAAAAAACATGAAATCCTATGTAAAATGACCTGCCGCCTGCCGGATTCGAATTTCTTGTTCGCCCTTTGATCCGGAATTGCGAAATGTGTCAAAACATGACATTTTTGAAAAAACTGAAAATTTCCATTGAAATAATTTTTTTTGAAAACTAGTGCATAACTTTGT